TCATTCCTATTTTCCCAGATGAGAAAACAGGAGACTCAAAATATTCCATAGCTAGCATGATTTAGCTTGTAACTTTGAATCCAGTCTGAAGTACACAGTCTGCATGCTGACTGTCTTCCAGCCCCACACAGTGAAGACAAAAGTAATTATGTAGTAAAACATAAGTTAACATTTGGCAAGCACATATTGTGAGCTAGGCTCTGTTGCTGTTCCCTTATATGGATTAACTCAGTTCATCCACACAACTCTCATATTGGAGTCATTTTGAATAAGGAAACAGAGGTACAGAGAAATCAATTAACTTGTCCAAGTTCCCACTGCCAATAAGTAGCAAAACCCAGGATCTGAACCCAGGTAGTCTTACCTGAGAGTCAACCCCCCCAACTCTTTTGGCTTCCTAGGATGGTGGTTTCATTGTCTTATACCATCTAGGGGCTGGATTTGGCAAGCTGCCCTTAAAGGGAACTGAAATAAACCTCAGAGTTTTACTTGACTTTGCCTGAGTCCAGTGCTACAGAGGCTCGTAGATTAGAAGACTGGGCTTCCCTTTCATGTGTCAGCCCATTTCCCATGGCTCCTGAAGCCACATCCCTTCTGCACCTCTGTCCTCTAGCTGCTCCCTCTGTGACCTGTTTTCTGCTCTAGCCAATTGCTGCGGTTTGGAAGGTCTTGGGGTGAGGTAGATTAAGTCTGAGGCCACTGCAGACAGAATCCTTATGATGCTTATGATGCTCTCCCAGTGCCAAAGGGCTAGGTAGAGTCTCAGGGCCTGGCTACATTAGAGAGAGCAGCTTTCACAAGTACTTATAAGCTTCACTATTTTAAAAACTTCCCAAGGCCCTTTCACTATGCTCTCCCTGGCTCAATCCCTGGCATAGGCCGTTTATTCTCCATTGCCCCTGGACACACTGTCCAGTCTTTCTTGCCTGGATGTGTGTCCTGAGCTCCCTGGGCTGCATCACAGCCTCTGTTGCTTTCAGGCAGGTCTAGCAATGGGAGGCACAAGCAGACAGGAGGCTGAGTGGAGTGAGAGGCTGAATACTTATTCCCCTTGCCACCTTCCTGCCCAGCTGCACCTTGAGCATGACTCCCACCTGGTGGCTGCCCTTTTGCAGCTCCAGTCTTGCCAGCACTGTTAATGCTGCTCCTTTCCCTTATCTCTTTATGTCTAGGGTGGCAGCAATACCTACTGCTATAGTCCTTGGATACCTCGCTTTTCCTTGGGGGCCCCTTGACCTTTCATAAAATCTCCCTCAGCAGAACTCTCATTTGAAGTGTGCTATACAATTTTTTCCAGAGCTGGCTTGGTACAGGCACTCATACCTCTACCGATATGGGGGTATGTGGGTAAAGGGAACCTTATCAGGGGAGTCTCCTTGCTGAAGTTATTGGTGCCTTTTGTCCTGGGATGTTAGATTCTGACTTTGAGAACTCTTGACATCTTACAGACTCATCTGGATGCATAATTAGTCTTCCGAGCACTCTTCTCCAGACCTCAAAAATACTATATTTATATTTCTTCCTATAGCTGCTATATTTATAGTGCTATAAATGAACCTTGGGTCTGGAGGCAGAGTGATTGAATAGCGGCATCCTAACATAATTAGGAAGGAAGGAAGGGAACATGTGGGAGTCAAGCCACCTGAAGATGATTCTAGAAGTCAATGGGGGGTGGAACAAAGTTTGAAAATGAAAAAGAACTGGTTTCAAAGAATCTATCCACTCCATGTTCACTGATGATTACATTTTGAGGTCAAACCTCAGGTATCTATAAAAAATAAACTAATATGCCATCTTTCTGCCTGTTGTTGTATGTTCCTAATGTGGCCGGGAACCCCCCCATCCCCAATTTGGAAGTCATATTTGGAATGGTCTGACTTAAATGTGGCTGATATGACATGACTGTGACAGAGTAGCTGTACTGAGGCACACAGAGGGTGAGAAGGGAGCATGGAGGAAAGACACAGATGTGCAGGGTAACTGATCTTAGTGGAGAAGTCCCTGGTTGCTACTGTTCATCTGCAGGTGAGCTGGGCCTTTTTTTTTTTCTTTTTTTCTTTTTGGTACTGAGGATCGAACTCGGGTCCTTGTGCTTGTGAGGCAGGCGGCAGAACCACTGAGCTAGATCCCCAGCCCAAGCTGCTCCTTATAGAGAACTCCAGAGGCTTTCTGCAAGACTCCAAGGTGAACGTCATCAGGGTCAACAAGGCTTCTTGGTAGCATAGGGAACCAGATGGCGATTAGTGCCATTCTAGTGCAGTGGCTCACCGAGCTCTCATACCTGATGACTCTCCTCTGGAGACATGCTCACACTTGTCAGTAACCTTCTCATGGTGCAGGCCCTGAAACTAACCCCACTAATCCAGCTGTGGTTGGGTCTCATTCATAGTGCCAAGAGGACTGTCTTCTCTCTTATTCCAGATAGCAATTGTCAGTGCATATCGCTTGGACTCAAAGTAGCTTGTTTTGGGCTGGGAGTGTGGCTCCGTGGTGCAGCACTTGCCTAGCACATGTCTGGCCCTGGGTTCCATCCCCAGCACCACAAAAAAGCAAAGAAAACAAAGAACATTTCTTCTGTGACAGCCACATGGTAATAATGACTGATATTGAAGTTGCAGTCAATAATTTTTACATCTTTTTTTTCTATTTGATCAGAGGAAGGAAGGAAAAGAAATCGTCCCGTCGATGGGGATTATAGAGGGATCAAAGGGGAACCTGGATGTGGATTTGGAGTAATGCTTCAACCATGGTATCAGAGACCACTCCAAGCTAGTGGGTTCCTTGCTTTCAACCATTCCTCTACATTTCTGGTTTTCTTGGTTCCATTGATTTGTGGAAGGCCGGAACAATGTGGAGTCAATCAGAAAGTCACATGCTGCTCATTTCAGTCCTCCCTGGCCTCCTTGCCATTCCACCTCCTTTGGGTTAATTCTATTTATCCTTCAAGGTTGAGTTTAAGTGCTTCTTCCTCTGGAATGCCTTCTCCCAACTGGTTCTAGGTGCTCAGGTTCCTCTGTTTAGCTACAGCTTCATCAGGGAATCCTGTGCTTTTCTGTTCTGGCACTTAGCGTAACTGCAGCTGACTATTTCATGGCATGATGTGCCCAGTGGCTTGAAGGGGTAGATATCAGTTCATTGTTGTTCACCACTATTTATTTACTGCCGAGCACAGTGCTTAGTACAGAGTAGAAACTCAGTGCACATTTGTTGAGTGAATAAATAAATTATGTGTATTCTGGACTTCTGAGGTCACCTAGCTTATCTCTTGTTCCTTTTGCCACATGTCTGGCAAATGGTGAGTCTGTATTTGAATGGCTCTGGAGACAGGAGCTCAGTCACCTGCAAGTGGCCTACTTCATCCCTGGACCCTGCACATGATTAGAGAGTTATTTTTCATGCCTGCAAATCCTTTATGGGGATGTTTCCACATGCATGTGTCTTCCTTCTCCCTTCTGCCTTCATCACACACTACTCCCTCTGTGTTATCTACTCCATGTCCACCCTGAATACCACTCTGATCTCCGGTTTTTGTATTGCTCTGGTCTCAGTCAAGAAATGGGATAAAGTCCTCTCAAACCCCATGAGCCAGATGTTCCCATGAAGGCACAGGAAAGCAGCACTTTGAAATGGTTTAATCACTCAATGAGGCTCTTGCTATCACTGCACTTTCTTTCTCATGCTCTATGGAGCGCTACATGGTCCCTGTAACTCTTGGCTCACTAGACTTGAGAGCAGGGCTTGAGAGCAGGCCTCACACCCTTTCTCTACCTCACTGTACCCTCAGGACCTGGCTCAGAGCCTAGCATATAACAGGGCACACAGTAAATATTAGTTAGATGGAACCTGACAGCTCCACTATCCTTAGAAACCCTTAAGATGCTAGGCCAGGGTAAGCTGGCCTTTGGTAGCTGAAAGGTGATACGTACGCAGATGACTCGGTTGGGTGACCCGATGCTGGACCCGGGGGGTGAGATGGAAGTTTCAGAAGTCCGTCTATGCTGCGGGAGAGATAGGACAGAAGAGGTGAGAAGCTGCACCCTGGGCTTGCTGAGGTGGGGAAGACCTGTATGAGAATACAGATCTTCAGGCACGTTAACAATACTGTTAAAGTATTCTCTGGGTATGTCTCTACTTTTTCTTTATTTTCTATCTTTTTAATCAATATCTGAAGGTGGATTAGGTCCAAAATGCATAGGACTTCAGGGTGTTGGACAGAAGATAAATTTATTTTCTATTTATGTTTGTAGCTGGCATTTTAAATTGTATATTACTCATAAAACTCATTTTGGGTTATCCAAGCCAATGTGTTTACTTTAAATGAATAACATTTCTTAGTATTCATTCCTTGGTAGTTTGTTTATTCAAAATGTGAACATAGGTTAAACTTCATATAATTAAAGAACATGCTGATTCTTTTTTTTTTTTATTTAGTTTATTGGTACATTTTAGGTATACAATACAGTTACATTCATCATTGGAATCTTGTACCTTTCCATGATGTATCTTGGTTCATATTCTCCCCCCCATTACCCTGCCCTCCCTTCACCCCCTCCACCCTTCCCTATTTACAAAGACTTTGTTTCCATGTTTTTCCTTTTCTCATATTTTTTCTTTTCCCTTCTTTTCTTTCCCCTATCCCTCCCACTTCCCCCACTCCTTTAGACATTTTCTTCCTATTTCATGATATCAATTATACATTTTGATTCTTATTTACACTTTTAATTTTTTTTTTTTTGGTACTGGGGATCAAACTCGGGTCCTTGCGCTTGCGCAGCAGGTGACAAAACCACTGAGCTAAATCCCCAGCCCCACACTTTTAGTTTTTCACACCAGAGAAACTATTTGGTATTTACACATGTGTGTCCTATTTATTTCGCTTAAGAGTATTGCCTCAATGTGCATCCACTTAGCTACAAATGTCTCCAGTTTCTCATTCTTTATGGCTGAGTAGTACTCCATTTTAATAAAAAAAACACATCTAACATGTTGATTCTTTACAGTGCACTCTCTGCAAAGTGACATCAACATAAGCAAAAAACTTGAAAAATCTGTCTCTGAACAATAGCAAGGATGAATGAATAGTTCCATCAGCAGAGCAGCATGATGTCAATCTTAGCGCACCTATGGCAGTGATGACATGCTGGGGGGAACAGGTCAGTGGATTGGAAATCAAGGACCGTTAATGGTCCCCGTGATTTTAGAGATTTTGGATTCCCAATGTGTAAAATGAAAGGGCTGAGCTTCAAGATTGGTCAATTCCCTCCCTGATCTTTCATCCTGCAATTTAAAGCATGTTAAGTGAGGGCTGCTTGGCAGTCTCTCCAAACTGTGGACTGAGAACAAGGGGTGGCTCTGGAAAGATGAATTTATGTGGAATGTTTGATAATAGAGTCATATTGCGAGAGAGTGAAATGTAACATTTTATCTCAACCCTCTTGATTATATCAAGGAGAACTCTCAATTTGGTGCCAATTCACTTCAACAATTGTCTCAACAATTGCTAATTTCCTATTTTTAACCAAAGAGAATGCTGGCAACATTAGCTACAATTTTTAAGATTTATTCTTAAGAGTCATTTCATTGTCATTGATTTCATTTTATGGTTACCTTCTATTTATGGCAAGTGCTACTAGTTTCTACTTGCTGATACATATATTTAAAAATTATTTTAGTTCAGTAAAAAGTAGTAAATTGATTTAAAGAAAAAAAGTTTATAATGATACAAAGAAATGGCAAGATACAGAAAAAAAATCAGGGTTTTAAAGAATGACTTGAATATGGGAAATGTTTCCAAAGAGAAGGAGATTGAGGAAGAAAAGGACAAGTAGGTGTCCTTATACCTTAAGTGGGAGAGGCCTCGAAGAAACAGGAAAAACGCTTGCATAGCTCAAAGAAATTATACACTAGAGTAATTCTTCTGCAAAACTTAGAGTAGGTGGATGACATGGAAAAGGAGACATATTAATGAGCTGGTCAGAAATTGTGTATTTCTACTTGAGGCGATACTAGCAGGAAACTTAGTCCCAAAGAAGTAAATTGATAGCCACAGGATAGTACGTAAAGGCCACCCTGAAGGTCACACACCCCAGGTGTCCTTCTCCACAGCACCAAGAATCCAGGAGTTCCACCCCTCTCTGCAGCCTGGGCTGCTCCACCCTTTCCCCACAGTATCAGGAACCCAGAGGGACAGGCCTTCCTTGTACTTGTCAGAGCACAGTAGTCAGAAAGACCAGGGCCCCAGGGATACCGGAAGTACTTCAGTCTGACTGTTGCTGCAGACACTTCACCACTCTCTTTAGTCCTGTTTTTTTCACAGGCAAGGTGGAAATAAAACTTTCCCCATCTATCTTAAAGGACTAAAGGAATCAACTCAGGTAGTGGCTATAAAGATGGTTTGTACACCGTCAATTACTGTGACAATATAACTATAATTATTAATAAGAGACCTTATGTTGGGGGGAAAATCATGACATGAGCATCTCAGAGAAGCTGCCATCTTGGTCAGCATCAATAAGGTCATAACCTTGCCAGATGCAGGCACACTTATAGACTCACATGAATACAGTGCTCTACCATTTTCAAAATGTTTTTTATATCCAGTGTCTTAATCCCCTCAAATCCTATGAGCCAGGTGCTCCCATTAAGGATATCCAAAGAGACAGGCAGACATTTTGGAGTGGGAACTCTAAGGAATACTGACTGTACTAAAAGCACAGCTCCTCCAACCGGTGGGAAAAAGTGGACATGTAGGACTGCTAGTCTGGGGTCATTATCAGCTTGCTTACCTTTAACTTCTTTTCTGCTCGGGCTGCCTGTTTGCAGATGGGGTGCCAAACCTCAGAACCTAAGGGGCCAAGAAAATAACAAAGATTCAGACCTTTCAAAGCTATCAGTATTCAATCCCATCTCCAACCTCAGTTTACTCCCTGGGCAGCCCATTGTGTCCTACATGGCAGCTGCCAGCCAAGAGAACCCCTCAGCTTTCTCAGCTCTTTGCTGGCCTCTTTTCCCTAGTCCACTGGACACCAACTTGAATAGTCACACATTTCTTCAGTATGTCCAAATACTACCTGCTTCTCAAGGTTCAGGTCTCACAAATATCCTCTTGCCAACTCCCTTACCTGTCAGTTGGGGGTGACTTCTTTCTTCTCTGTGTTCCATAGTTCTTTGTACTTCTCTTCACAAAGACAGCCTTAAGTCACAGCCGCTTGTGGATTTACCACCCCAACCAAGTCAAGAGCTCCTTCTGGGCAGGGACAGAGCTTTATTCATTGTTACATCTCCCACAGCATCCAGTATGGCACACTGCTCTTAGCAGAGGCCCATACATGTTCAGGGGGTGAATAGAGAGTGGACGACTGGCAGTGAATGACTTAGCAGGTGGTGAACAAATATTTGTTGACTGAATGAATGGCAGTAGGAGTGAAAGAAAGTGACAGACTGATGAACTCCAGTCTTCTTGTCTCTTCAAAGACTTACGAGTTACCAGAGCTATCTCTTTTAAAGGGAAGAGGTGTCATGGTGTATATTCAGCTTGAGAGCACTGTCTTGACCTGCTAATTCCTCAGAGACTCCAGACTGTTCAAATTCAGTATACTTGTGTTGCAACTGCCCACACTTTATGGGTGGGTCGGGGTTCAGTTGGCTGGCCCCAACCCAGAGAAGCCGATTTGGAAAGGCATGAGCAACAGGTGGCTGCGCACATGTTGAGAAGAAGCCCTAAGTATTATACATTCCCCAAAGAAGGGACAGGTGTTCTGGATTAGAAGGAAAAATAGGAACATATTATCCCTCCGGAGCCATTCCTCTTGTAACCAGCACTAAAAGGAGAGAAGCCAGCAAATGGCTAGATTCCTGAGCACCCAGATGGCATTTGTTTGTCTGACTTTGTTTCCAGGATACTCTTTCTAAAATGGTTTGTTGCCTGCCATCCCTAGGACTAATACTGGCTAAGGGTGGTGGTGGTGTAAGGTCAAATAATGAGACCTAAAAGAGAGGTTTGTCCCATGTAAGGGGGGTTTCTGTCTCTCCTTAGCTCTGAACACATTCTCTCTGGGTCCCCGTTCCTTCAGCTGAATAATCAGGAGGTGGCACTTATACAGTCTTCAAGATGATTTTCACCTCCAGGTTTTCAACTCTAGGCCATTTTTGTCTTTTGTGGAATAGAAGTCTTCAATTTTTGTCTGCTGAAACTCTTGGGTGTTCCTAATTACTCAAAAGTTTAATTCCTTTTAATATAAAATGCCATGGCTCTCACGGACCAGTAGAGGGACTCTGGGTCTGTGGCTTGAGGCAGCAGTCACAGGGTGTGTCCAGCTCTGGGTTGGGATTTTTGCTTTCAGGAGTTATTAGAGAGAGCATTTCCGGTTTTTCTCTGAGTTGTTCCTGAATCTACCAGGAGTTGTTTACAACAGTAGCTCCGGCAGGAAACACATGTTACAGGTCACTGTAGGAAATGGAGGAGGTGAGCACAGGTCTGAAAATGTCATGAGATCAGGTAAAAGACACATATGAAAGGTGAAGGGGACAGAAGTCCTCCTGAGGGGAAACTGCGTAAAGGGTCGATGGTTTTGCTCACTTTTTGACTCTATGACACTGACATATCTGATCCGAAATACAATTGAGCAACAGATGCCACTGTCTCTAGTAGTATTAGCTTCAGCACTCTGCATATGGAAAACATCTTTATATAAGAAATGGGGGGGAGGAGATCAGAAAAGAGAAAATATAATTAGAAATGAAAAAAATAAGTTCAGGAGTTGGCAGTATAGATCTAAATAAAAGAGATGGAAAAGAATTTGCTGGTAGCTGGCAGTAAACTTTAAAACAATGGTAAGAAAAAGCCATTTTTCTTTTTCTTGAAGATCCCTGTGAAATTATGGTCTGCTGAACTTATGCCCTTGGCTAATAGCTTGACAATGTGACATTAACATGATGACATCCAGAGGAGTCATTATTTTCTTTGGGTGGACTTTATCCCCAGAGCCAACAGAGTGCCTGGCCTATGCACATTTAATAAAGACTGGTTGGATCCTACCTTGTATTTTTAAAAAGACAGAAGGGGACGGGCACCCAGAGGAGAATGTTAACCAGAAGAAGGAGGGGATTCAAAATTAGACTGTAAAGGGGCCAGGGATGTAGCTCAGTGGTGAAGTGCTTGCTTGGCAAGCTTGAGGTCCTGAGTTTGATTCTGGGTACCAAAAAAGGAAAAAAAAAATTAGACTGTAAGGCAGAGTCTTCCTCCTGTGAAGACCAAACAGAATGGTGAAACGTGTTTTTGGATGCTTTAATGGCTATCTTTGGGAAAAGGCTTTGAAAGTCTTATAAAGCAGAGTAAGAACTAAAGGACAGAAGTGCCAGGGAAGGAAAATTTACATCTGAGAACTGAGTGGTCTTGTTTATCTGATAGTGAGCTCCTTGTCTCTAGTGGTATTTAAGTACAGAATTGGTAGAAAAATGCTCAACAGAGATATTGTGGAACAGGCTCATTACATGATAATAACACTGGAAAATGTTTTAGGGCTGGGGATTTATGGAAAATGTTTATCAACTGTCCCAATCCTTAGAGATTTTATGTTCCCACCTCAATGGGCTTCTCTGTATAAAGAAGGTAATTATTTGCCCCATCCAGTAATCCCAGAAAAAAGGTACAGAGGGGAATTCATATTTGCCTTATTTACATCTATCTATCTATCTATATCTATATCTATATATATCTGCAGGAGCTGAAGATTCTCAGTAATATTCTTTGAGTGGAAAATAAAAGAAATAAGAAATTCCATCTTAGACTAGTTGGATTTTCTAAGCTGGACTCAGAGTTGGACATATAGTACAATCTAGGCTCTGATTTGACAGCTACAATTTCAGATTGAGTGACTATGGGAATATTCACTAGATTGAGATTTGTCAAAATGTGACCCGAGGACTACCTTCTGACAGTCCCAACAGAGCCACTGCACCAACTTCCTGGAGGTGGGGCCTGAGAATCTGATTCAACAGCTCCCCAGGTGGTTTTATGACTCTAAATACAAGATGCAGAGGGCTAATACCAGACAACATTCCAGATTTGTTTCTTTGGAATATAGAGTTGGGGATGCAGTTGGCGTAGTGAGCTTGCATGGAATGTCAGGGGATATAGAAACCAATTTGTAAGGTAGAACTCTAACATCTTATAAGAGTGCAACTTTTTTTTCTCATTAGACTCATTGTTCCATGAGTTACACTCTCTTGTCCTTTGATACGGTCACCCACAAGTCTAGGTTCTGCAGGTGAAACATACTATGGAAGCACAACAGGGAAGGATTAGCTGTTTCTGTCTCTGGCCCAGAGGAGGCCATCTGAATCTCTGGAACAGTCCCTCAGCTGCTATCAGGGCTGCTTTTCATCCTGAGCTGAGCCAGTAGGCAGTCTTATTTGACCGATGACAACACACCCCACACCTGTAACATCTAGGGTGGATTTAACGTTCTTTAATGTTTAAGAACCCACCCACCTCTCTGCTGGACCTTGAAATTCAATTTGCCAAAGCTTTTGAAAAAATGCCAAAGCCCAGCAGGGGTTATGAACACAGCAGTGACTGAGATGACTGAAAGTAGCTGGCTGAAAGTTTTGTTTGGTCAGCACTGTGATTTTAAACATTGTTGAATCTGACTATTTTAGGCACTGCAGGGTGCCATGACTCTTTCTGTAGTCCCTCCCAGTATCTAACCACTGGCTTTCCTCCCTCACTGATGTTGACATTTGAGATTTTGTCCTCTGATCCTAGCTAGGGAATTCTCCTCCATCAGGCTTCCTCTCCAGATGGCTCTGGACCACAGTAGGGTGAGATTCATCAGCATCCTGCCTCTATGATGGCAGCACCACATTTGTAATATACACTGGTTAGGACCTTGGAGTTGCGCCTTTAAAATCCCAATGCAGATAATCAGATGAGGTCTCTCCCTAAAGAGAATATAATTCAATCATAAAAAGAATCACATGGATGCATGCTATAACATAAATGACCTAGGAAACATGCTCAAGGAAAGGAGTCAGTTGCAAAAGAACACATATTGTATGAGTCCATCTACATGCATCTACATGAAATACCAAATAGGTAAATCTATAGACAAAAAGCAGACTGGTGATTACTGGACACTGGGGGAAGGGAGAGTGAAGGAGAACAACTGCTTAACAGGGGTTCCTTGGGGGTAATGAAAATGTTTTGGAACTCAATAGAGGTGGTGGTTGTATAACATTGTGAATACACTAAATGATACCAAGCTGTAGGCTTTAAAATGGTCAATTTTATGTTATGTGAATTTTATCTCAATAAAAAAGAAAATTCCTGCCCATGCCCCTCAGCAGATGGGCTGCTTTTTCAGACCAGAAGATATTCTGTTCTTCCTCTGTCACTAAAAGTCCAGACCCTGCAGCAAGGAGTTGAGTAAACTCTTCTGTTGAGTTGCTGTGTAGTAATAATGGCATCGTTAACCTCACGCTAGGCGTTTGCAATCTTCCCTGTGCATCAGGAACTCTATGCATTATTTAATATCATCTTCTTAAGCGGTTTGAATCCTGTTACATCACTTACTGCATCGAAGGCTGTGCTGTCTGCAGTAACTCAGTTGCTGCTCTGTGCCTTGGTTTCTATGTCTATAAAGTGGGGTTGAGGACAGTGTCCTCCTTGTATGTTTAAGGAGTAAGGAGCTAGTATGTGTATAGCACTTGGAACAGTGTCCACCTATGTAAGCATTAGTGATTATTGTTGTTATTACAATTATCTGCCCTCTCCCATTCCCCCCAAAATTGTTGTGCCAGGAGCTAGTTTAGATAATGGGAAAAGAGACATAGGGAGACTGAGAATAGGTGGGGAGTATTTATTCCCTAATTCCTGACAGCAGGGCCTGAGAGAGTCAGGGGGATGCAGTTAATGGTGAGCTGGCTGCACCAGTGGCTGAAGAGGAGCCTGATTTGGTTGCCAGTGAACCCTCCAGGGAGGCTGGGCTTGTGCCCAGGCACAAGGGCACCTCAGGAGAAGCGAGTAAAACTGGCTTGCCTGGAGCTGGCATGATGAACTGGCTTGAAGCTTAATAAAGCAATAGGGGGAGAAAAAGTGCCTTGTTCCTATGAAGCTGTTCCCATGGAGGACATCAGGCAGGATAGGGAGAGGAGACAGGCAGTTCTGGGGCCTAGTGATTCAGGGGAAATGATAGCTGCTGACAGGAACACTGGGGGCAGTAATATAATGTACCAAGTACTCAGTGTGCCAAGCACTAAGTACCCTTATTTTTCTTACATTTTTAGAGTGCCTGTGCCTGGCTTCATGCTACACACAGACACACTTTATAATAATTGTACTCAAGTGAAAAATAGTAATGATAATTGACCTTTACTGGGCACATAATGCTGAGCCCTATCTAAATGTTCCAAGTAGTGATGGTGACAGCAACAGTAGCCAGTGCTGATGAGGCACTGATGACAGAGCTCAACGCTCTTGCTCCTGCTCAGCCTGCACTGGAAGTAGCTCCCTGGGGCCTAGTCTCACCCCCACTTATGGGTTGGGAAATGGGAATTTAGGGAGCGTGAATATCTTGCCTGCTTGTCCACTGCTGCCTTCCTACCTTGGCCTGGGCAAGTGGGTCGAGGAGGGACATCAGAATCTCTCTGGGACTGTTCTGCTGAGCCCAGCATGGATGGCTGCCTCTCTAGACAGCTGGCTGGGGGCTGGCTCTGTTTTCCTTCCCACAGCGTGGTGGCCCCAGCCCAGGGCAGGAAACATGAGGCCAAACAGAAAAAGAAAAAAAGATGAAGGAGAAAGAACTGCCTGATGACACCAGGAGCCCCAGCTCTGCTGTTCCCTGCTGCTTCTTGGTTCCCTGAGCCCATCAATCCCCTTTTGCCTAGCGTGGTTTGCCTTGGGTTTCTGACAGTTTTTTTTTTTTTGGGCCGGGAATCGAACTCAGATCCTTGCGTTTGCACAGCAGGCTGCGAAACCACTGAGCTAAATCCCCAGCCCAAAGAATTGTTTCTTTTTCTTTTTTCTTTTTAGGTACCGGGGATCAAACTCGGGACCTTGTGCTTGCAAGGCAGTCAGCAGAACCACTGAACTAAATCCTCAGCCCCTGCCTTGGGTTTCTGCCACCTAAAACTTCCAGACTAATAAAACATCTTACCAAGCTACAACCCGAATAACTGACAAGTTCTTGACTTGCCCCTCAGGCAATTTTGTTTCTCAGAAAATAGAGGAAGCAACCAGGGGAATGACTACTCTGAACCTAATTCTGACCAACATGGACAAATTGGCTGGTGAAGTAGATGTGACATGTAACTGGTGAGAAAATGGCCACATCGTCTTGAATTTGTGGTGACCAGAGAGGAACAAACTGGAAACAGACTTTAGAAACACAAATTGTAGATACTATACTGTAATATTTTCTGTATGATTCAAGATGCTTGGTAACCCTCAGCGTCTAAAAAAAGGGCAGCTCATCAAAAATTAAAATGTACTCTATTTAAAATGAAATATGCTTGGTACAGCCAGACTTTAGGAAATATCAATTGAATACAGGAACAAGGATATGTTTGAAGAATCTAAAATTACGTAGCAGGATTGGGGAAACATAAGATTTAAAGTTTTTAAGCATAACTCCTACAATCTAAGCTGTCAGTTGAGAGATCCAATTTAGTGTAATAATGCTAAACTATAAGATGATAGCAACCAATACTGCATGAGTGCCTTTGAAAGTGGGATTTGATAAGATACATAGCTGACTGAGGGCTGTCAGGCCACAGCCCGTCACAGTGGGAGGCACTTCACTAGGGCATCTATTAGCTCAGTGTACTTTTTCTGAGTTACCTGTCAGAAGGATAGGAGGCCTTCAATAAATATCATTGGCACCCCCAGCTATGCCAGAAAGACACCCTTCCTGACGCTAGGACCTCGTGTCATTTCAACTAAAAAAAAAAATGTGGTCTGAAATAGACACAGCTATCCAAGGGAAGGGCTCCCTATGATTATCAAAGCACACCTCAGGACTCTATACTAGATTTGTATTAACACAGAACTAAGGTTCTTTATTTTGGGCTGTGGATCCCTCTGAAAATTTGGTGAAAGCTATAGATCTCCTCCCTAGAGAAATGTACCTATATGCAAAATTTGGAACACAATTTCAGGGTATTCATAAAATTTACAAGGCCAATTATGAACCATAGTTAAAGAATTCAGCAACAGATATAAGAATACTGTTTTAAGGAAACCCAAACAAGACAGGCTAGTTCACCTTAAGCTCTCTAAATATTTTTCTGCTCTAAAATGAGGCTATTGATTTCTTTTAGCTCACAGGATCATTCAGAGGATAAAATGGGGTATAGCACTTAAAACTCTGAGTATAATACTTGACACACAATAAACCCTCAGCCAATATCAGCTTATGGCATTTGATCATTATTATTTTAATATATTTATTACTTGCAAGACCTGCACTTTGTTACAATACTGTCATTAGCCAAACAGTGTTTGTCCCAGGATTTCATTAATGATTTTCTGCCTAGTGGTCTTTAGTTGAATATACAAATGATAACAGAGAACTATTTTTAAAATGTACAGCTGAACTCCTGTTTCAGGTCCTTAGACTCAGATACTGTGGGGTAGGGAGTGGTACCTGATGTAGCCAGAAGGGGAGAAAATGAATCTATCTTCCCTCTTTTCCTGAGTGCAGGCACATTTAGAAAAAGAGCAAAATCTATCTCATGAACTATGTTTGGAGTTTAGAAAAATTCTCACTGGGCCAGCCTTTGTAACCTTTGTGATTCAGGTGTAAGTTTTTCCCTGAACCTGCAGCATTTTAGCTCACAGGATCATTTTGCTGCACAAAAATCAGTGACCTAATTTCTTGGTGAAGACCAAATGAAGGGTTTGGATAACAGATTAGATAGCTGGCATCTTTACAAAAGCAGTTAAAAGACTGAATATGCAACAGAACTTAGAACAAATAAAAGAAAACTTGCTCTTGTCTCTTGGAGCTTCTGCAGTTTGCCAGGAAAATTTCCTCCAGACAGATGTCAGACTTCTCCCAATTAGAGCCCTTCAGAAAGCCATCATGCCACAATTAAAGCACAAACTGGCCAAAGAATCTCCTGAGGACCATTTGCCAGTACCAGATTGTCCAGCTATGGGACTGACAAGACTGGGTATGTAAGTTTTTCAGGCATGCTAACACACACATTCTGTTTCTGTCTCTGTTTCTCTCCTCTGACGTTTATGCATCGGTTTATGGGGTCCTCAGCACCTTCACGTTCTTTCTCTCCTCTAATGTTCATAAGGACCTTGTGTGTGATGCTTTCTTTTGCTGGGGGCCTTTGTATCTGCCATTCTCACTGCTTCCACAATCTTCCCTTCCTCTTCACCTCCACTTTCTCTTCATTTCCAAGTCTATGGCTTGAAATGTCCCTTCTTCAGGGAAGCCTCCCTGGCCTTGCAGGCTAGATAGGGACCTTGTGACATGTTCTCATTGTTCCCAAATCCTCCTTTCATAGCGCTTTCCGCAGTTTGCCAGTGAATGTCTGAACTTCTATCAAGTTAATGCCAATCTTCTCTTCCAAATAGTAAACTCCTCTAAAGCAGTGAGCTCACCTGCCATGCTCGTCTCTGTGCCCCTAACTCGTAACAGAGACACTGGAGCATAGGGAGGCCTCTACTGGAGTGATCAATGAGACAGTGATGTCATCCTCATTTGACAGGGAAGGAGGAGATCCAGAGAAGAGAGTCACTTCTTAATGTCCCAGTCCATAGTGGAAGAGCTGATACCAACCCAGGAGCCGTGGCACTCAGCTGGCTCCTGCCACTCCTGTGTTGCCTGGGAGGGGGGTTTCTTGCCATTTCTGAGGGTGTTCAGGGCCCATCTCAGCTGTAGCAGAAAACTCTGGTGCTGCCACCCCCATAAGACACCCACAGCCCAAGTCAGCATGACTCAAACGGCCTAAGCCCCCTCATTTCAGAATCACTCAGCATCCCTTGAGGCTGGTCCTTGAACACCCTGCAATTACTCCTACTCTCTTAGGAGCCAGGAGGTAGGGATGGGGATAATTAATGAGAGGGTGACAACCCCTTCTTCATGACCAAGAATATCTCCCACCTCCTGGAGGCATGTCTTCCTTAGGTTTGATGGTGCACCCTCTCTCATGATCACAGAGCAGTTTACTCAATCACTTAACTCCTTCAGCATCTGGGTAAAGTTAGATTAGTGAAGGTCCTGATCCATGAGGCTGTGAGCTCCACAAGGGCAGGGCCTTTGTTTGACCTACTCCTGGCTCCAGATCCAGTGATTAAAACAGCCCTGGATACACAGCAGGTGCTCAATGGCTGTTTGTTAAATGAACACATGGGTCCTGGTCTATTTCACAGGTTAGGTGATCAAGGTTCAGAGAGTTAACAGACTTGCCCAAGTTCCAAAACCGAGTAAGGAATAGAACCAGGATTCACAGCAAGGCAGTTCGGGTGAAAGCATAAATGGAGACAGATGAAGAGTGGGAATTCAGGCAGGAAGGTGCAGATGCTGATCGTCCTAGTGAAGCACAGGTGGGAATGTGGGTGTGAGGGCAGGTCTAGCACTGGGAGAGGTATTCATCAGAGAAGGGGAAAGGAGCACTGCATGGCACATTTCCCACCCAAATGCAAGCTCCAGATCCCCAGGGTGGCTGGGGCTCATGAGGACACTGTGCAGTTTTCTGGGACGTGTAACACAGGCTCCTGTAGCAGGAAATCACTGGGACATCCAGGCACCAAGGGGCTGGTGCTCCTTGAAAGGGGCAGGGACCTGAGTAGCAGCCAGGGCCTGGGTCTCAAGAGGTCAGGTGGAGAGGGTCCTGGAAGGAAAGTGCCAAGGCCCAGTCCTGCTTTGGCCCTTTACCCTCTGGTTCTTACTTAGGTCTGTTTTTTTTCTCTAGGCCTGTTTTTCCCAACTATACAATGTGGGTAGTCACTTTGCAGTTTAGAATGACTGCTGGGATCCTTCTGCCTCTAATATATGTATGAGTGCATACAGTAACTAGCTACAGTGTTACAGAAGCTTAGAAATGGTCTCCTCATCCAAACTAATGTAGGAATCCCTGCTCCAGAACTTCCACTAATGGCAAAGGTTTCTGTTGAATATTCCAGGCCAGCGGGTCCAAGTGAGGATGAATTTGGGAATATCTGTGTGGTTTTAGTTATCAAAATGGGAAAGGACATATTGCTGGTATCTAGCAAGTAGAGACCGGGGGTGCTACCAGATACGCTGTGGTGCACAGGAAAATCGTCACATCAAAGAATTATCTAAGATCAAATGTCAATAGTTTGAGATTTAGAATCTCTGCTCTAGGTCCAGGGGACTCAGAGCATATGGTTAACTTCTGGCCCTGGGCATCTGTGGCTTGGACAAGCTTCATGAGAAGACACACTTCTTACAACTGGCCCCGTGGCCTCAGAGCTGCCTTTCGGGGCAACTTGGGAGGAAGGGCTCTCACTACTCTCCAAGATCACTGTTCAGACACCTGGGCAGGGTTACCGTAGCGACTCAGCTTGCAGTAACCAGCTGTTTGATGAGGGCAGGTGGGGCCAATGTTAGGCTGAGGGGCCAATGCCAGGAGCCAGGGGTCTCAGGGAGAAGACCAACAACTCTTACCCAACCTGGAGGGACCAAGTACAGAGTCGTGAGAACTTAGGGAGGATGTCAGATTGGGGTGATCTGGGGTTTTTAAAAAGCATGTAGTTTTTGAATGGTGTCTAGAATGATAGGATTTCTGAAGGAGGGTGAAAGAAGACAAGGGGAAGAGCTGAGAGTCCATTTCAGGGGCTGAACACCATCTTGCCGCAAGGCCCAGCCCGGGCTCCACTGCCCATCTCCCAGGGTCATCTTACTTCAGTCTGGGCCTCACACACTTGTCATTTCTTCACCCACCTCAGAGGTTTACAGATTCTGTCCCCCCAGGTTGGCACATCCCATTCCTCCTCTCTTTGTTCAGTTGCTATGGTCTCAAGGTTTGTGTTCCCCCCAATCCATATACCCTCCAGGATGATGGTGGGGCCTTTGGGGAGTGCTCAGGTCCTGAGAGTGGAGCCCTCATGGATGAGAGAAGTGTTCTTAGGCAACAGGCTTCAAGAGGTTGTTTGCTCGCCTTTCCCACCTTATGAGGGCACAGAAAGAAGGCACCATCTATGAGAAAGTGGGCTCTCAACAGACACCAAATCTACTAGCACCTTGATCTTGGATTCCCAGCCTCCAGAACTGTGAGAAATATATTTCTGCTGTTTATAAGCCATCTAGGCTATGGTAGTTTGTTATAGCAGCCTGAAGATGGAGATGCCAGTTAACACCCACTCATCCAGGATCTCAACCCTGG